GCTCAGTACTCTTTTCTTTGTCACCAAAGAAATCCTCCTGTTTCCCAATACTCTGCCCCGCTTTTGGAATGCATTCTCGGCCATCCCAATCCGTCTTCGAATCTCAGCGTCGCACCTACCGTCCTCCGTCAAAACACTTCCCAGATATTTAAACATCTGCACATGCTTGATTTTAGTGTCCCCGACCCGCAAATCACTTTTCGGGCTCATCTTTTACTGATGACCATGCATTCTGTCTTCTTGTAGTTTAGGCTTAGTCCCTTCTTCTCGGTCTCCCTAGCTGCCTTATATAGGAGGGGTTTTTTTTAAGGGTTTTTTTTTCCGTGACTGCTATCCGTATTGTGTCATCTGCGTATCTTATGTTGGTAAGATCGTAGCCGTCAATGATGAATCCCGGTAATATCTCCAATTCTCTCGGGATTGCCTCGCTGTATACGTTGAATAAGTCCGGTGAGAAGGCACATCCTTGCCTTACGCCCCTGTCTATTTTTCAACCACTTTTGCATATAACTTTCGGCAAAAACGTGATCGGCCGAGACAACATCGGAAGACATTTCCTGTGGTTCAAGTACATGGTTCTTGTTTATAACTGAGACTGTCGAAAACAAAAACAGAATCATCTTCGGACAGTTTATCCACAATTTAAGATCTCAATACACATCTTATTTGAAAATTAGAAAAAATTCAATAAAAATTAAACAGTCCTTTTCAGTTGAATTTAATACAACTTGTTTGAATGAATATATGCTAACTAAATATACCTTATATACCATTATTATTATTATTTATTATTACTTCAAACGTTATTTTTAGTGGATACCTGTATTTGTGTATAACGTCCCACTCTTTTTAAACAATGTTTATTACTTCTTTTGGCCTGTGTATTCGAGAAAACCTAAAAAAAATGTGCCCTCTGGAAGGATTTCAATCTTTGTCCTCCTTGATACAAGGAACCATCATCTGATCCAGCGTGCTTTAGACCATTCAGCTAAGAAGAGCCTCACAGCCAAGAAAGGTTATATTTGCATTAAAGCAACATCTCCTCATTTCTTGAATGCGCAGGCCTGTAAACGAAATAAACACCGTTAAAAAAAAAAAACTGGACATTCTATTCAAATAAGAGTATCCACTAAAATTAACGTTTAAAGTAACAAAAATATGTCGGATTAAAAATAAAAATCCATTAACTTATTAATGTTGGCGTGGATAAATATTTTGGCGAATGCGATTTACTACAATATCAAGGTTGCTATTTGCTAAATTTAGTACGACATAAGACTCTGTATGCTCCAAAATATTGAACTCGCTACAGAATAATGGCATTATTAACAATTTCTCTGTGCTGAGACGCAAAGAAGTTATGATTACCAATGCTTTATTATTTTCATGTTGCACAATTCTTTTACAACTCACGTAAATTTCATGTCAAAACTCAGCTAATAAATTTAAAGGCTATGGATTTATTGTTCCAACCTCAGATATACACCTCTGAAACAAGTTCCTAATTGTATTGATTTCAAAACAAACTTTGACCAGATAGATTGTACCGACAACAAAAACGAAAAAAAAAAAATGATGAATGCTTATTGAATCTGTTGAGTTTCACCTCATCTGTCTGAAGAGTTAATATTTATTGAAAACAACAATCTGTCAACAACCAGATTTAGGTTTCCTATTTACTGTCTCTCGACTTACTGTGATTGATATAAATAACTTGCTTAGCCACAGAAGACGCCAGGATGTGGATACTATAAACAGGCTACATGGAAACTAAGAGAAACCTCATTTTATTACTGTGTCAACTTAAACAGAATGGGAATAACACGAATGTACATACCTCCCTGTAGCAACCCGAAAGAGTGGCCCCATCGCAAAAGTGGATGCTAATCAAGTATTCATTTCATCAGTGACACTGTCAGACACGGATCTATCGATATTATACTGAGAGGTTGTAGTAAAAGATATCTCTGTAGGTTTCTCATAACGTGAGAATCGCAAATTTTGTACACCACAAAACTGAATATTTTGTGAGCTGTTTGGACAATTGGATATTCTCTTTTGAGGAAATCAACCACTTCTTTTGGTTTTAAAAATATCACTGACATAGCAAAGAATGAAAATATATCTTAGAGGTAAGATACTGTACTTCTAAAAAGCGAGTAAGTAAGAAAATTAATAATCATAGCTTACTCGCACTTCGGCAGAGCAGTTGTTAAGGAGACCATTACTAGTGGAATGAGTTCGAGCTTCACCGAGTGCCCTATATTTGTAGATCTCGTCTATATTAGACTTAGGGTGCCACACCGTGAAGTAATGGTTAAGAAGTTAATTATACAAACCATTTCTCTAACATTAGACAAATTGGAGGTACCAAAATCAAATAAGAACAACAATTTATATATTTGGGATGTGTTTTAACAAAAGACGGAAAGTGAAGCACTGAAAGGTGCATCGGGATAGCGAAAGATGCCTTCCAAAAACTAAGTATTAAGAAACAGGAAACGAAGAAAAGAGTACTTAGCTGTTATGCAACATCTGTCCTCCTATATGACGGTGAAATGCTAGACAATCTCCTAACAGATGAAGAGACTTGAAGCAACAAAAATGTGGTTCTACGGAAAGATGCTGAGAATACCATGGACCAAACATTTGAGCAACGATGAAGTTTTATAGAAAATGGAAACAGAAAGACACTTATACATAACATCAGAAAGAGACAGTTGAAATTTCTAAGGGACATAATATGGAAAGGGAGCTTTGAAAATTTGAAACTCGCAGGACACATTGATGTCAAGAGAGAGAAAAACAACGTATAACCTTTCTGGCGAGCTTGAGTAAATGTATAGCGGAACAGGGTTTAGAAGTGATAGCAAAAAAGACAAAGATTATTAAGCGCTGCATAGGACAGGGAATTGTGGAGAGATATGATCGCCAATATCCTGAAGGGAGACAGCACATAGAAGAAAAAAAGTTTGATGCTGTGATGCATATGCAGTCTTATGTTGTACTATATTTATTAAATAGCGGCCCTGATATTTATATTTACCTATACCACATACATCAAAACATGTATCCTCAAACACACACACACACACACACACATATATATATATATATATATATATATATATATATATAACCTAGTGAGCTAGATATTTTGTGTGTGTTTTTAATACTAGTAAGAGCGTTCATTCCGACCTGTGAGAGAGAGAGAGGGGGGCCTGCAATAAATATTAACTTATATGACTGTACTCAGTTTCATGGACTTTTTATGAATATGAAATTACGAGTACAGATTTATATAAGTGGATTACTTTATTTATTACTAAGTATTATTGCTCGAACTTTTTGCCTTCCGTATTTGCACAGGTCGATCATATTTCTGGCGAAATAAAATCTTATTGTTATATATATATATTTCTAAAGAATTAGTGTATTTTATTTTAATGTACATTTTTATATAAACGCTTGATTTTTTTATTTTTATTTTTTTTTTTTTTTTTACTTTAACTGTCTCGTTATAGAAATTACAGTTTGGCTAATTTCAGCACGGTTATTATTTTTAATTACTTATTTATTCAATGTTTACGTATTTCACATTGTTTCAGTCCTAATTTAATAAGAACATATAATATTCAGACGATTAAAGTGAATCGTGTTCTGACCCGGGTTTGAATCTTACAATGGTTGATTTGTCATGGAGGTGACCTCTTGTCATCATGTGAGTGAGATTGAGTAGAGGAAACCATTCGATGGTTGTGCTAGCACGAAGTCACAAGTCATCGTGACTGAGGGTTTGAGAGTACTGGGCTTGTTTAAAATTTTGTTCACTCTAGATTATGCGTTTGCTCACAGAAACTGTAACTAAGATCTGCTCAGCATATTTGCAATATAAACACCACAGGTAGGCTCTGTTGGTCGAGAAGGTGTCTGTAATAGTGTTTAACTAAATGGGTGTGCTCGGGAACAAGTTATAGCCAACCATTATAATTAGTATATAGATAACATACCGATGGTTGATAGCCAATTAAGGTATGTTGACCGCAATTTTATTTCTGGAAAATTCTACTGAATATGATTTTTATATATGTTGAAACTTTTTGCTTATGAAATATTTGTTCTGATCGTCATCCTTATTTAGACATTTTAAACAAGCTATAAGGTTTGTTTGAGATCTTTTCAGAGATAGACTTAGTTCCCAAGAATTGGTGCCTCAAACACTTGTTGATTAATTGAGTGATAAAGAGCTTTCAATTGCTGACAATCTCAAGTTTCGGATAAAAAAAAAATAGTTCCTACCAATCATTTAACGAGACCTTACGTGCTGCTGCCTCAGACCAGACACAAAAACGAGGAGTTTTGTTATGACAACTGGCATTTTTTTCACCTCTTTAAACTTTTCTCATCAGTAAACTGCTGATAAGGCAAGAGATTTCTTGCCAGCGTAAAAAAGGGACCGTAATAATGTTCAATGGTTAGAGTACCGGACTGAAAGACGAGATATCCGAAGGTTCATTAAAATAGTAGGTTAACGATGGCGCTGGTATAAAATAAAGTAGAGCTGGGAAAATGGTATTAGATTTAAAAAAATTAAAAACAATCTTGTGCTAGTCTCGTACTTTTAAAACCTATGATTATTATGGAACATAAATATAAAATGGAGCTTGATTATGAAATTATCAGATTTTTGCAAAAATATTTATGACGATGTTTATTAATTGATTCATATAATCACTAAACGTTTCTCTTGTTTTAACCAAATTAAAAAGTTACAAACTAGAAAGGTGTTTACACCTTCTAATAGTTAAATGTAAATAGAACTTATTAAAAGCATACTAATAGATGTGATTCTGAACCAATTTCGCTTTATATAAAAAAAGTATTATATAAAAATGTCTTGTTAAAAAAATACGCCACTTTACAAGAAGGATAAAAAAATATGTTGCAAATACACATTTAAACATTGTCCATTTTGTGCTTCAGGGAAAATTCAAGAAAGCTTACGGCTATTTCACGTTGAAACACCCTTTCGCGTACGATCACCAAAGTTAAGCAACGTCGAGCCTGGTCAGTACCTAGATGAGTGATAGCTTCGGAATACCGGGTGTTGTAAGCTTGGGTCTGCAGGCGGTGTAATGGATAATTGTTAATCAGAGAACGAGTTCCAATTCTTTATATTCACTTACGCGCAAATAACCTTTGGAAAGGGATTAATCTACTTCTTCTCCCTCAGCTATGTATTAATAAAACTTGTATCACTAAATAATTATCTCCAAAGGAAATTCTTACACTCTTATAAAAAATATTTTCTGGGTTTAAATAACTTGTAAAAGATTCATAAACCATAGAAAAATCAATTAAATCGAAACATCAAGAATGTCATTTCCTTTTTCTTTTCCTGTTTTTCTTTTTCCTGTTTTTCTTTTTTTTTTCCTTTTTTTTTTTTTTTTTTTTTTTTTTTTCGCTTTCCTTTTTGTTTTTCCACCCTCTTTTTGTTTTGTAGATAAATCACATCGGGGTTGTTTTGTATTTGTTTCAAACTAAAAAAAATTAAACTCTTCTCCCTAACGGTCAAATTATATAATACAAAACTTTGTGTGTCTCCAAAAAAAAAAAAAAAAAAAGCAACAACAACGCAAGGCTGGGTTTTTAAAAGTGAATGCAGTTTTTAAAACCTTTATATCAATAAGATGGAACTTGATTTTTATGGTCCCGCAAAACCCATGTTACGTAACGCGCATGACGCCTCCAAAAGATAGGAAATTGGCCTTCAGAATCAAGGATTGACTGACTGCATTCTAGGTTTAAAGAATTTTTTTGTTATATTTGTATATTTGTACCCCCACATGAAAATTCTTTTAACATGCTGATGTCCATAACCTCTTACTACAAATCAGAAATGTGCCACTTGAAAAGCTTAATTGCAAAAGACATGTGACTTTAAATGCGAGTTTTATTTCTTTAATATTATGTTCCTTCAGAACGGAGGCGATCATGACTCTCCACAGTTTCCTTTTATTATCGATGAATTATCATGAATTCTTGAAAAATATAGTGGAGTGATTTCTCGATGCTTCTTCCACGGTTTTGTCAGATTTGTCGAAAATGACTGCCACGCATGGCTAGAGAACCAAGTCTACCCTATTATTCAACTCATAGTTTGAGTGAGAAGAGATAAAATAACATCTTTCCCTATGGCATTAGTACGAAAATAACGAAACAGTCTAGGCCGGAATTTGAACTCTACTCGCTGATTCCACGTTCCACGTCGATAACTGTTAAATTAAATGCACATCCGGGTTGTAATTAAGTTTTTCTCTTTCGTTTTTTTCATCAAATTTTGTTCGGCAAGCCGAGCAGTTTTCCATTTTGACTTTTAGCTCGCTTCTTTCTCATCTTCATTTGAACTTTCTCTTCCTATATCGTTCTCTTCTATTTTGTCTACACCCGGCAACAAGGTTTTTGATCAGGGGATTGAAGGTTTTCACGAGTGTGGAACCACCTCTTAATCGCTGTTCTACCCATGTCCATCCTGACCCGGGTGGTAGCACCTGTTAGGTTCCCAGCTATGGGCAAATAATAACCCCCCCTAAATAAAACCTTATGAAAGTATGAAAATACATTTTTATATAAAAAAAAAATTACCAACAATATATTTAATCTGTTGTTGAAAGCATACAATTGTGATCGAAATATATTTATCTGGTGCCTTAAAATATTTTTGATTTCAGCATTAATAACCTCTAGATGTTGATATGCCGCTAAAAATCAACCAACTAACCATCATGAAAAAACTCTTCATCGCATTAATCCATATAATATCCTACAATTTCTTAAAGAAATCAAACTGTATTCCAAAATAAAACTTCAACAAAACTACAACATAAAACACACATATCACCGTCTCTAGTAATTATATTCATACAAACATGTATATGCACAAAAGCTGAATATTATCTACCATGTATTCAATTGTGAAAGCAGAATAACTTATATTTTTATTAATTTTCAAAGCTCCCAAGAAAATTCAATTTTGGCATTAAATATCCCATAAGGAGTTGATATGCCGTTAAACAAACAAATCAGTCAGACCTATTTTGTCTTGTTATTTAAACCTTTTAGCGCCAGACGTTTTATTTGGGTTGTGTCAATGGTCTTTTAGATATGAGCTGTCTCAGACACTTAGAAGAAATGTTTTATTCATATGCCACTAATAATACAGAATACTGAAAAAATGTCATCCAGGAGCAACATTAAAGCAGATATGTGAGCGCGTTAAGAAATCAAAATTGACAATGGCAGTCGAGACAGATGTTGAACGACTCGAGCGAAAAATTCAAACAACCAGTGTTCGCAAACAGTGACATAAAATTCTCAAGAGGCAAAAGTACACTAGTAAATCGGAGTTGATGCTTCTTAGGCGTGCGATGGCAGAGAAGATAGCAAAGAAACAAACTAAGTTATTGTTTGTATATTTTGCTTTCATTAACTAAAGATCTGTATATCTTTATTTAATTCTGAATCGGTGAAGGCACGATAAACAGCAAAATATCTTAAATTTTTCATCTACATAGAATAAACGCGTTGCCAGAGATGGAGCCAATCTGAATTTTTTCTTCCTATTATTTTTTAAAAAAGTCCGTTTATGTACAATTTTACTTTGTTGCATTTTTACTTGTATGAAGAACATGGATAATATTTTAAGAAACCGAAAAGAAAAAAATATTAATGATCTATGTGGCCATTGAAAGCGTCCAAACTACTAAAATATACATTCACAGATAGCATAGTGAGTTTTATTCTCAATGGGAGCGTCACAGTTGTGTTGTGGTCTCAGATTAAGGTATGCTTATTAAATAACTATATAAGTAGTATGATTTTTTATATATATATATATATATATATATATTAGTAGAATTACCAACAATATATTTTTAAAGCTGAATTGCCGAAAATAAATCTTATAGCCCAATGACCAACAGTACGTTTTATCTGTAGTTAAGCCATAAAACTATGATCAAAATATTTAGATTTCGGCATTAAATAATCCACAGCGATAGGTATGCCGTTAAACAAAATTAACCAAACCAATATAAGTATTAGTGAAATGCCAGAAGTGTAAATTATGAGTTTTTAGATCGTATCTACGGCTTTCTCTTTCTATCGACCTATGTAATGTTTTTATACATGTATGACGCAGAATTGATACCAGACACGGAAAGAAAATACTGGAAATCTAACTGATTGTAGTAAAAAAGGGACGAGATGAAAGGACTAAACATAAATTTTTAGAAAACAGAAGGCATGGTTGTCAGCAATAAGAGCCGAATATGCTAATTACAATTTGGCGATGTCAAAATCAAGCAAGCACAGAAATTTAAATATATAACAAGTGCTTTAAGAGAGGACGGAAAGTGCGACACTGAAATTCGAATGCGCATTGGAATAGCGAAAGATAAGCTGTGTTAAAAAACATGAAAAGTTTGTTAGAAACAAAGGAAAGCGTGATTAACCATTATGTAATATCGGTCATCCAATATGGCCGGGAAGGCTGGATAATCTTCTCACGGTTGAAGAAGTGATTTGAGGCAACATAGATGTTGTTCTACAGGAGGATACTGAGAATACCATGGAATGAACATGCAATTACGAAGTTTTAGAGAAAATGCAAACAAAAAGGACTCGTATAGTTAACATCAGAAAGACATTGTTGAAATTTCTAGGGGACATAATGAGGAAAGAGGGCTTAGAAAAATTGATACTCACATGATAGAGGAACAGAGGAAAGTAGCGCATAACCTATTAACGATCTTGTACAAACTGTTGGCAGCACACGGACCAGGAGAGATAACGAAAAGGCAGAATTTACTACAAAGGGCAGGAAATTGTGGAGAGCCATGATCGCTCACGTCCCGAATGGACACGGTCACGCAGAGGACCTGTCTATATATGTGAGAGGGTAGCGATAAAACGATAAAATGAAAGAAATATTCGTCAAAAGTTAACAGTACGTATATATATATATATATATATATATATATATATTTATCAACGATGAGGATCAACCTGAGATACATTTCTGAAAATAATCAGTATTTTTAATAGAAAACAACAGTTCCTACTGTTTTTGCCATTTCGAAGTTTCTTCGTATAATATTCAGAATATAAATGGAAATTTCTTCTGTGTGGAAAACATCCGTTGAAAACTGGCAATAAACAACGTTATGTTACTACTGCACGAAGTACTGATGATACAATGACAAAACTAAGTCTTTCGGATATGACATAACCAAATGTGTATGTTAGACTGATCACCGAGTTAAAGAACAGTTTCTTCTATCTCGGAGGTCATTTTCAGTCTTTAGTAATTTAAATTTAATTGGACGATTAGTCCTGGGTATGACGATAAACAACATCCGGCAGTAAGGCGTCTGATCGGGAGATTGGAGGTTTTGAGGAGCATGGAATCACCTCTTAATTTCTGTTGTTCCCAGCTCCACCCTGACCCCGGGTTGGTAGTTAAGGTTCCAACTATGGGCAAATAGTGAACCCCAAATAAAACACTATGAAAGTATTTAAAATACATTTTTATAGTAAAAATACATTTTATATTTAAAAAAAATTGCCAACAATACCTATTTATAGTAAAATTACCAACAATACCTATTTATAGTAAAATTACCAACAATATATTTTATCTGTAGTTGAAAGTATACAATTGCGCTCAAAATATTTAGATTTCGGCATTAAATAAGAGCTAAATAAAATCAACCAACCAACAACTTGGACAATAATTGCTAGAGAAGCCTTTTAGTTGCTAGTCCAGTAATCAGCAATGTTATATTTTCAACGTGTAGCCGTATCTATAGATGCTACTGATTTATTGTAGAGTTTGCAATTACGTATTTTTATGGTTGCAAATTCTCTTAAGATCCTGTTATATAGCGTTAGACATTTCGATGGCATCTCATTGTTCTAACAATTAGGCTTGCTAGCATAGTTTATACTGACAATTTCTAATCTGTTCAGTTGGCATAGAAAAGAACAATGTTTGGGGTTTCATGTAAACAAGAGTGAAAATTAATTTTTATCTTAGATTTTATAAATAGGGAAT